GACAGGAAGAGGTTTTTGCGCAGCTTATTGGGTGTCGGATATTTTCCAAAATCAACCGAAGTAACGCGTATCTTCAGATTCCAGTAGACGACGAATTTTCAAGATAACTGACCATAAATACACATCGTGGGAAAAGTGAAAACCCTGAAGAACACAAGAAAAATATTTCCGAAGTTTTCAGAAGAATTCAGGACTATAGATTCAAACTGAAGGACGAAAAGTGTGAATTATTTATGGACAGAATTAAATATTTAGGTCAGATAATTGACAAGAACGGCAGGAAACCAGATCCAGTGCTATAAAGGACATGCTGGCTCCTGTAAATGTCTGTACCCTACGAAATTTCCTGGGGTTAGCAAGTTACTATAATGTATTTGTACCAAATATGCATTGCTTCCGAGCTCCGTTGAATGAGCTATTGAAGAAAGACGCTAAATGGTCTTGGTGAAGGAATGCCAGGAAGCATTTGAGAAAATTTTTTAAAAATACTAACGTCATACTTGTTCTTGACACACTATGATCCAAAAAAAGAAATAATCGTAGAAAGTGACGCTAGTGCGTACGATATAGGAGCTTGAATTATGCATAAACTTGAAGACGGCACGATTAAACCAATTGTACACCCATCCAGCACGCTTCTTTCAGCTGAGAAAAATTACTCCGTGATTGAAAAGGACAGTTTAGGAAATCATAGATTTATTTACGGGAGAAGGTTTACTCTACAAACAGATCACAAACCGTTGATAGGTATTTATGGATCCAAAAAAGGATTACCGACTCATACGGCTAATAGGTTACAACGATGGGGAACCATTTTACTAAATTACAAATTTAAAATGGAATTCTTACTATCATGCAAATTAAGTCATGCGGACGTGTTGTTCAGACTTATTCCTGTAGTTTTCAATCGTTATGAGTCTATCGATTGAATAGAATTTTATTATAAACAATTGTCTTGTAAATGGAATTTTTAAAGCGTTCTGAATGTAAAAATATAGAAAAAATGTGCAAGACAATGCCTGCCAAAAAAAAGTGAAGTTTTATTGAAATCGGTTGAAAAATGTAGGAAATCCGATCCCATATATAAATGAACACACACGCACACACAAACAACCTGGGTTTTATAAGTATAACTCGATATGAGTTGTCCCCCTTTCATTCTGGCGACAGAATCGTGTTTTCAAATTGATTTCATACAAAAACAATTGTGTTTTTCCAATTTTTGGTGCTGTCAGAACCACCGCAAGGTTATTTTACACAGTCCTGTGAAGTTTTGTTGAAATCGGTTGAAAAATGTAGAAAATCCGATCCAATATATAAACGTACAGACACACACACACACACACAATCTGCGTTTTATAATAAGGAAGATTTGTTGCATGGTGGAGAAGTGCACTCCTAATGTTTTGATAACTTTTTGTAGCCATCGCCATCATTATGTGTTACAAATTTGCAATTTTTTATAGCTTCAAGAAGTTCTTTTAATCTTTCCATATATATTCTTTTAAATTTAGTCTCTAATCGTACACTTTTGCATACACAATGAATTTTTTAGTTTGACTGAAATATACACAGCTTACCAAAAAAATGGACATGCGTCATTTTGATTTTCACATGTGCACAAAATAATATTTACACTGACAACCATGTAAAACAAAAATACAGAGTGTAAATGTAAGGGTTCATTTATTTTTGCACATCTTAATTTTTAATTAATGTTTTATTCCAACTTGATAAAAATCTTTGAAAGTCATTGTAATTGATTTAATAAAGCTAGCTATTTCTTAATGAATACATAGTTTAATTAAGAGTTGTTGATTATCTTGAAAAATAGACAATTACTTTAAATATTATCTTAGGTGTTGACTTACTTTTGCACAGCACTATATATATATATATATATATATATATATATATATATAGTACTCCTGATTACTCTTCTATTGTTCTTGCTCCACAGTAACACTTCTTTTCTCATATTCTTTCACACCCACTAACCCCATGTGTCTTAGTGGCTTTTCATGGGGTAGATTTGATCGCAAATTTTTCAGGAAGGTAAATTCTTGATGTTGTCAGCCTGGGGAGGCATCACACCATACGATGCCATTGGAAAGTTTCTGAAAATTACATCAGAGTTAATGCAAACCTTGTGAGTTGAATTGAGAAGACAGAAATATTTAAAAATCATTGATGGTTGTGCTTGCATGAAGTCGCAAATTATTGTGACTATAGGTTTGGACCTAAGTTCAATTCAACACAATTGCTATATAAACCACAGGTATATATATATATATATATATATATATATATATATAACCCATGAAAAACGAAATTGCAATGCCCAGAAGGGTATTGCTTATTTTGACCAAGGTTTGCAACTTCATGCTAGGTTTAAGAGAGAATATTTTCAAAGTTTTCAACCATCTTGTACAATAGCGATTCTCATACATGTACATTGTCTGTCTGACCTTCGAGCACTAATTCATGCTCTGACTGATACATACCAGAGCAAGCAGGTGTCATGTCAAAGAGACACATATGCTCCTTTAGTATAATTAAATCCATTTGAGATGGTATGGTGTTGTGTTGTGGGCCCTTCTTATCTCATGCTTATGGATATGAGGCAATAACTGGAGTTACTTGGAAATAATCAACTTCTTGAAAGTGGCCGGATAAACAGGTGGAATTACAGATTATAACCATTGTGCTGCACACCGATTCCACATCATTTGTGTTCTCTGATCTCTCACATGGAGTTCACATAACCCAGAAATAGCTTGCTGATCATTCTAACTACTACTGGTGCTCTTTCTATAAAAATAAATTAATAAATATAAATAAGTAAGCTATTCTTCTTCTATATGCCACATCCATTCAGGATATAGACAATCCTGACTCTCCACAACTTCCTATCCCTTGTGGCCTTTAGCAGGTTCTCTCCCTTTGATAAGGACTCCTGTTCCACCATCCATTCACTCAAGCACATCAGTTAAGTGACTTGCTACCTTTCGCTATTTCTCTTGAACACAGCATATCTCATGAAGGTTATGTCTTCCAATCCTTTCCCGCGTCATTATGGGTCCAAGGAATTTCCGGTCTTTTTTTCCGGATTCTGAATAGAAGAGTTCCTTCTGTTGGCATTTTCTTTAAGACTTCCTTGTTGCTGACTCACTCTGTTCATGGAATTTTCAGTATCCTTCTTTAAAACCAGTTTTCTTCTGATCTATGGGGAAATTGTCCAATATTGACTGCCATGTAGCAATCTGGCACTCTTGTATTTGTTTCTAACAGAATTTTTTACATTGTCCTCATCTTTGTCACCATATTTATTACAACGTTTCGGCTGTTGTACACTCCGACCTTCTTCAGGTGGTTGGAACGTCAAACTAGACACTTTATTTTGCTCACTGGGGTAGACTATTCTAGTTCCACGTGCCATGTCTAATAGATGTCAGTTATCAGTTATCTCCTGTTAATTTCCCTCTCACCACCTTAACTAAGTATTAAACTTACACTCTTTGGGTTCTGTCACTGGATCTAACTAACACCTTTATCCACTCTGCCTTGTGTCCTTGAGGACATCTGTGTATGAATTCCTGGGTATTATAAACCTAATGTCTTCAGCAACCATTTTTTACCAGTGCTCAGTGGAGAACTTGGAGAGGGAATTACACAGGAGATAACTGATAACTGACATCCATTTGACCAAATACTTCTGGTCTAACTAGCTCTTGGAAATATAGAGCCTGGCAGAAGGAACCATGTACTTTCTGGAGCAGAAACTGACCATTTTCCTGCATCTTTAGAAATGGATCATATATTTGAGTTGAACTTGAGATTTGGAGTGAGCTTGAAACCCAACAGATGTTCCTGGCAAATAACCTCATTGATATACTGGTTACAGCTGATATTTAGTGCTGCTCACAATAGTTGAGTTGCTCTCCAGTATTTTACCAGTGACTAAGGTTAATGCCCATCTCTTTGATCCATATGAAATGACTGTTTCTACTGTTGAATTAAAGAATTTCAATTTCAGACATTTTTTTCATTATTGAATCCGAGATTATATTCCTTTTTGATAATGTTGTTCTTGCCATTGCAAATCTAAAATTTTTGTCTTGCAAGGAATTGAACTGTGATGGTATTTACCAATCCACCCACGGGGATCGAATGTGGCACAAGGCCTTTTTAATGTGGGTATCTCTGAGCCCGTCGGCCTAACCAAAAATAAATAACCATCCAAACCCGCCGAGGCGGGCCAGTTCCGTCAACCTCCCCCAACGAAACCCTACCCTTCGGCGGATTTCGTCCGGATTCCTCTCTGCAAGCAGAGAGTTCGACAGACACCCGACCCGGCAGTTCACAAAGCGCAGATACTACACTTTGATCCTAGCCACCGGGCCGAGCGGGTATTCTTTTTATAGAATTGAACTGTGATCCCACATATAAAAAATAATGTATTTAATTTAGCCTGTAACCTTTTTTTTTATTTCTTTTATAATTTTACTATCTACAATACTTAGGCCTGCCATATGTCACAGTGTTACTGGACTGTTTCTGTAAAAGGGTTCGTTCTGATTTTATAAGTATTCACTTTTTTGTATGTTAGCCTGGAAGCTTAAAGGGTGTTTGCAACAGAAAACACTTTATTGTACAAGAAAATTAAGCCTATAATAAAAATTGAAAACTATCTCCATTGGAGGTTTAGAAATTATGACAAGCCTAAAAATAGTAGCCCCAAACATTATTTCATCTCTTCATTGTTGTCTTTTATGTCATGTTGTTTGACTATTTTCATGAAGAACACTTGCCAATGTTTACAATTTCTTTTTTTATTGTTCTCAGACAGCTTTCACCTTCTTCAGAATTCTCAATGTTGTGTTCCTATCACACAATAAATTTGATATATCGTGTTTCTCCTTTTGAGCTTTTATCCTTCTTGCAACACATAACAATCTTTATATAGCTGATATTTAAAAAAAACATAAATATCAATAACTATGCTATCTATCTATCAATCTATATATCTATCTATATCACTTTTTGTTAAGCTTCCTATGTTTGTCGATCTATCACAATCTTTTTTAATGAAAACTTTCATTTCTTTCACAATAAATTTCTATCTATCTATCTATCTATCTATCTATCTATCTATCTATCTATCTATCTATCTATCACAGTAAGTTCCTATCTATTTATTATAGTCAGTTCCTATCTCTTTATCTATCACACAAAGTTCCTATCTATCTATATATCTATCACAGTCTGTTCCCTATCTATCTATCTTTCTATCTATCTATCACAGTAAGTTTCTATTTATTTATCACAGTCAGTTTCTATCTTTTTTATCTATCTGTCACACAAAGTTCCTATCTATCTATCTATCTATCTATCTATCTATCTATCTATCTATCTATCTATCTATCATACCCAGTTTCTATCTATCTATCTATCTCTCTCTCTATCTATCTATCTATCTATCTATCTATCTCTCTATCTATCTATCATACTCAGTTTCTATCTATCTCTCTATCTATCTATCTATCTATCTATCTATCTATCATACTCAGTTTCTATCTATCTCTCTATCTCTCTCTCTCTCTATCTATCATACTCAGTTTCTATCTCTCTCTCTATCTATCTATCATACTCAGTTTCTATCTATCTCTCTATCAAAATATATATATATATATATATATCTTGATTTTTGTTAACCTTCCTATGTTTGTCTATCTATCACTATTTGTTTTAATGCAAAACTTTTCTTTTTTTCACAATGAATTAATATCTATCTTATTTTTTAATCAGAATCACTCCAAGCAAAGCAGTAATGCCACTGAAACACAAGGAGTTACAGGGTATGGAAGAATCAGGAACAGAAACATTAATGATGAGCAGAAATAGAAGTGAGTAATCAGTTGGACAATAGATAGCAATTGACACTGCATTTAAATTTTTGCAGATTAAAGTTGGCTAGAACGCACTGAGCCAGAAGGGTGTTCCACAAGTAAGAAGTGCGAGAAAAGAAACTGTTAACATAGAATTTATGGCAACATCTAGCCAGCTCTACAAATTGATAAGATCTCAATGCCAGTCTAGTGCTCCACTTAAATTCAAAAACTCTACGTACCATAGCAAAGAGCTCATTCGAACAATTACCATGAAAGTATTTATAGAAAAGACATAGAGAGGCAACCTTATGATGGTGGGAAAGTGACTGGAACTAAGCCTCAGATCAGGACTAATGATACTGCTGATTTTTCTTTGGATCCTATCAATGAGCTCAATAGCAGGGATATTGGATCTTATGAGGCAGCAATATTCTAAGCATGGATGAATGGTAGACTTATAGATATGTAAGATAGATTTTGGAGAGAAAAATTGTCTTTCCTGACATAGTGAACCAACTTTCTTAGCAGGTGACCTAGCAATAGATTCAATATAGTCTTTTTACTTCACAAGTCACTTTACAGAAGGATAGCATCAGCCATGCTGATGGAAGGCAGCGAGATGTCTCTCAGATGATTAATGGAGAGAAGTTTAGTTTTGGAGGCATTAAAATTAACAAACCATTAACTATAGCCATTTTAACATTGTCAGACTGATAAGCTTACTATCAAGATAGGAGTAAATTGTTGTGTCATCAGCATAGATACTCAGTTGATAGATGTTGTCATCAGGAAGGTCATTAATGAAAATTAAAAATAGAGCAAGACAAAGCATGGAGCCTTGGGGGACACCTGCATTAGTATGAAAGGATCTAGATGAGTGGCTATTCAGGATAATTCTCATTTCATGATTTCATAGAAAAGACTGGGTCAGTTCAAACAAAGTATCCAGAGACAATGTAACTTTCCAGCTTGTGGAGAACACCTGAATACCAGACCCTGTCAAAGGGTTTTGAGATATCCAATGCAACAGCCCAGGCTTCTTCATCTTTATCTGAAGCGTGATAAACTCTTTGCACAAATATTGTCAATATATCAGTAGTTGACCTGAAGAAATGAAAGCCATATTGCCTGTCTGTAAAAAAGCCCTGTGATGAGAGATGAACAAATTAAGCATTGATTAGGGCCTCTAGGAGTTTCCCCCCAAAAGGTAGAAGGCTAATAGGCCAATAGTTGGATGGGTCAGATGGTTCACCAGAGTTCTTAAAAACTGGAACAACAGATGATGACTTCCAGCAGGCAGGAAAGCAGGAGGCAGTGAGGCATTTATTATACAGTTTAGAGAGAACAGGAGTCAGTTCAGGAAAACACTTCTTAATGGCTATTACAGGAATACCATTAGGTCCACGTGTTTTGTGGGAATCTAGGTCAGAGATGATAGCAGAAACCATGGAAGGAGTTATATGTATATCACTCAACAGAGACTCAGCCTTAGGTGGGAGATTAGGCAGGGATACTCCAGATGAGTCAAGAGTAGAGTTTGAGGAGAATTTATGGGCAAAATATTCAGCTTTATCAGCAGAAAAGGATTACACCTCCCTCATATTGATTGTAGAGTTGAGGAAAAGAGACCTGACACGTATTTAATACCCTATTACAGAGCCACCAGTAATCATGACCCCAATGTTGTTAGAGGCTATGCAGTGCCTCATGCTCTCAGCAAACAGGAATTTTACTTCTTCGAGGACTTGCTTACATTTATTGTGAGCGGCAATGAACAGGTTCCTGTTCTGGTATAGCCAAAAATAGTGGTTCCTCTTTGCTATAGCAGTTGAGCATGATGGTGTGAACCATGGTGAGGATTGAGGTTTCACCTGGTATTTCTGAGAAGGAATGAAAGCATTCATGCTCACTTTGAACCAAGAAGAAACCTCAGTGGTGCAATTTTCAATTGAGAATTTAATGATGTCAATCCAAGGGGTGTCATAGAGAAAATCATGGAGTGAATCTTAATCAGCATGCTGAAGTCTTGTGGAAAGGGGCTCCTAGAGGATTGGAATGAAATATCAATAGCTACCACAGAGTGATCAGTATTACCAAGAGGGCAGTGTTGTGAAACTCAGCAAGAGCAAGGAGAGGAGGTGATAAATAAAACAAGTAGAAAAGCATGTTGTTCAGTTTTGCTAGAGAAACAAGTAGGGAAGTCCATGATTTGAGTCTGGGACTGGGCAATGGAAATATTTAATGTCTGAACTCCAGCAACATCAGTCCTTTTAGAATGTTTAAACCATATGTTGTGGTGATCATTAAAGTCACCAAAGACAAAGATGTTTGCAGATGGGTGCATAGAAAGTGTCTTTTCTGTACTGTTAGTAGTTTATGTCTAATATACTACAGTACTGGGAAGAGAGGGAGTGATAAAAGAAAAAAAAAGATAGTTAACAGAGTTTAGTATCAAAGGACGAAAATACATGAAGGAGTAGTCTGGGGTCTTAAGAGACAACTCCCTGGCCATCAGAAGATTATTCTTGATATAAACAGCAAGGCCATGCATGTGAATGTTGGTATTTTTTGGCGAAAGAGAAGATAGCCTGAAACCAAGAATTCATTTGTAGCAATGGAAGAATTCAATTTAGTTTCACAGAGGGCAAAGATATCTGGTGGCTGTTCCAAGAGGAAAGATGCTACACTGCAAAAGTTGGAACAAATATTAGTGAAATATAGCTGGGGTATTTAATTTTTTATTTACCAGTTTAGCTTTATTTCTTTTGTTGTGTTTTCAGAGATATATATATATATATATATATATATATATATATATATATATATATATATATATATATATATATATATATATATATGTTAATTGTTACTGACCGTATGGCAATACAAATCAGCCAGTGTGAGTCTCAGGGTCACAGACTGGAAATACATGAAAGGACACCTACCCATGTGACTGTTAATTGGAGCAGCCTCTCTAAATGCTACGGAAGATTTTGGGCTCCTAATGACCAGTTGAAATCAGAATCCAGCTAACTGACAACCTGTTACCCTCATAATGGAAAGTTACAGCAACTGGTTCATTTGATCACCAAAAAGTTAACAAAGTGAAATCACTGTGGCCCTGGTATAAAAAAAGAAAGTGAACCTGTAAACCATATCCTAAACAGGAAATAAGGGATTAACTTCTACTTCTGTTCAATAGATATAGAAGGAGTTTGAGGCAGATGATAGGTGAATCTATCTATCTATCTATCTATCTATCTATCTATCTATCTCAGTCTGTTCATATCTATCTATCTCCAATAAAATTACACTCAAATTAAATTATTAAATCTTAAACCACCTAACAAGTTATTATAAGTATTTCTAATAAAAAAAGATATTGTAAACTAATAGTCACATTGTATATTCAACATATAAATGGTATAGTTAACATGTAAATTCATTCATGTAAAAAATTCATATTCTAAAAATATATATAATTTCACAAGTTAATATATTATTAAAGATTACTTGTAATTGCATGCATCAGTTCCAGTATAAATAGATATAAATAATTATTGACTGATTTTATCATTGTGATATTTTTGCATTATATCAAGTATTAAGAATATAGTAACTAGGGCCAGCAAATTGGAGGAGAGAGTTATCAATGATAATGTTCTAACTTCAAATCTGTAGTTATCTCCCTTTAAATCTCTCTCTGAACCTTCTTTGTCATTGGGTTGCTTGTACCTTTCACTGGGAATTCCCGTCCACTAAACTGGTATCCTCATACATGTATTTTTATCACATAAAATTTGGTGAGGAGCAAGCAAATTTTAATTCCAAACATGCGGCCCTGAGAAAAATAGTTTTGGAACTGCTGCACTAGATTAATTAAGACTGAGTTGTGAGTACAATCCTCATTATGTCCTCCATAGTTTCGGCCTTGTGTCACGTCTAAACTATGCTTAGCAAATAACTATATATCTGCAACAGGGATTAGCTAGCCACCCTAGGATTGCTCACTGCCTGCTGCTATATATATATATATATATATATATATATATATATATATATATATATATATATACGTACATTGACTAGAGCAATCTAGATGCATGTATTGTCCACTGGGGTAGGAACAATTTCAACCTATTGTCACACTAAGTAAAACTCAGTAAACAGATTTATATAAAGATGAAGAGGAATAGCTGATTATTTGCTAATCCTGTGTATTTTACCTGATTCCTATTTGCCATTTACTTACTTTTTTGTCAGTCATTCACTGAGGAAAACTCCGAGCCATATACGTCAAATTTGGAAATTCCTCTTCAGAAATATGAATGTTGTGCAATATGGAAATAAGCAGGATTTAAGAGCGTTCCTGTGAAAGCCTTCTGCTTGATGAATGATGAACACTGGCAAACTCATTTTTCTATGCATAAAGACTAGATTTAATGGGTTTCAATCAGAAATAAGACAGAGAGCTCCAATAACAACAAATCTGTAATGTTCTCAAGGATTCATACATAGATACATACATATATAGATGGATATATATATATATATATATATATATATATATATATTTATATATATATATATATTCATCTATATATATATATATATATATATATATATATATAAAGATATATTTCAGCTAGAAATTTATATATATACATATATATATATATATATATATATATATATATATATATAAACTGAAATATATATATATATATATATATATATATATATAAACTGGAAATTTATATATATATATATATATATATATATATATATATATATATATATATATATGTGTGTGTGTGTGTGTGTGTGTATTCCCAGTGAAAAGTAGGATGTATATACAGTGGGGAAAATAAATATTTCATCCCCTGCTGATTTTCTGAGTTTGATACCTTAAAAAAATGGGAATGGCCAATAATTTTCAAGATAGGTCCATCTTGAAAGTGAGAGATAGAATACAAAAAAAAATATTCTAGAAAATCACATTATATTAATTTTTGAACATTTATTTCTTTTTTATAATTCACCCCCTACCAACCAGCAATGATTCAGTCCCCACAGACCAGTTATGTGACCAGGAGTCATATAGACTAGTCCTATTACTCAATTATTACTCCTAATCAAGTACTCATTACCTCTATAAAAGACACTAGTTCACAGAATCCTTCAATGAATCAGAATCTAATCTCTCCACAATTGGCAATACAAAAGAATTGTTTAAGGACATTTGGGACAAAATTGTGTACCTGCACCAAAATGGAATGGGCTACAAGATGATTGGCAATCAGCTAGATGAGAAGGATTCTACTGTCGGTGCAATAATAAGAAAATGGAAGAAACACCAATTGTCTATCAATCTCCCTTGGTCTGGAGCTCCATGCAAGATCTCCCAACATGGAGTGAACCTGATGATGAGAAATGTGAAGAAACAACCTAGATCTGCGCAGCAAGAACTTGTTGATGATCTCAAGGCAGCAGAGAATACAGTCACTAAGCTGACAATTTGTAACACATTATGCTGTAGTGGACTGAAATCATGTCGTGGCTGCAAGGTCCCCCTACTCAAGAAGGCACATGTACATGTCCATCAGAAGTTTGCAAATAAGCACCTGGATGATTCAGAGGAGGGTTGGGAGGTAGTACTTTGGTTAGACGAGACAAAAATTGAGCTTTTTGGCTTCAACTCAACTCGCTGTGCTTGGAGGAGAAAAAAAAGCTGACTTGGGCCCCAAGAACACCATTTCAACCATTAAGCATGGTGGTGGAAACATACTTTGGGGCTGTTTCTCTGCTAAGGGTACAGGACAACTACACTGGGTTGAGGGAAAGATGGATGAGGCCAAGTACAAGGAAATCCTGAGTGAAAACCTCCTTGCCTCAGTCATGACACAGAAGATGGGTTGTGGATGGTTGTTCCAGCATGACAATGACCCAAAGCATATGGTTTCAGACAACAAAAGAATTGGCTCAAGAAGAAGCACATTAATGTAATGGACCTTAATCCTTTAGAGAATCTGTGGAGGGAGCTGAAGCTTCAAGTTTCCCAATGTCAACCTACAAAGCTTAAGGATTTTGTGAGGATCTTCAAAGAGGAGAGTGCCAAAATCCTTCTGGGATCTGTAAAAACTTGGTAACCAACTACAGGAAATGTCTGGCTGCTGTGTCTGCCAAGAAGGGTTTCTTCATCAAATATTGAGTTATGTTTTGCTATGGGGTGAAATACTTATTTTTTCAATAAAAAGAAATAAATGTTCAAAAATTAATATAATTTTCTAGATTTTTTTTTTACATTCTATCTCTCACTTTCAAGAGGAAATGTCTGGCTGCTGTTTCTCACACTTCTCACCTGTGGAATTTTTTTCTGATTTATTGCTTCCCTTGCATCTATGATCTTCAGAAATTTAAATGCAACATCAATCACCATCTTCTTAATAATTGTTTTTTTTATGTCTCTTTACTAAAGTCTTTTCATTCTCTTCCATTCCCAGTGACTCCCTGTGCCTTAGTAGCATTATTGCCTTGATTGGGGTGAATTTTTTAATCCTTTTAGCCCTAGCAAAGCAACAAAGCCACTAAGATGCAGGGAGTCACTGAGAGTGGAAGAACATTAGAAAAAAGAAATGCATTATTAAGGAGCAAGAACAATAAAAGAACTGGAATTAAAATTGAAGATAAGGATTTACATTGCATTTACATTTTTGAAGATCAAATGTAACTGGAAAAGAAGAAGCCAGAACAGTGTTCCACAAGTGATGAGTGCAAGAAAAGAAAATGCTAGCATAGAATTTACAGCTACATCTCACCATTTCAACTGTAAAATGATGAGACTTTGCTGCCAATCTAGTACTGTACTTAAATTCATAAAGTCTAGGTACCATAGAGGAAAGTTCATAATAACAATTACCATGAAAGAATTTATATAAAAGCCATATGGAAGTGATGTTACAGTGGTCAGAAAGTGACTGAAGCTAAGATGCCAAGTCACATTTTTTTTGGTGCACCTCCATCACTACTGAATGTAACAGAAGGTCGAAGTATAAAGTGGGTTTACTAGCTATACCATAGAAAAATTACCCAAGCTTCATTGGCAATTCCTCTTTTGGGCTTGCCTCAGGTGCTGGTAATGAAAGAAAAGTTACTGCCTAGTAGGGATGGCCCCCTGTGGTTTGCACTAATATTAATTTTCAACTTCCTGGCTTTGACCTGGAAGTATGAACTGAGATCTCCAATGACATTTAAAAAAAAATATTCTTTTTTTATTGGACTTTTCAACACCAGCTCATATTGAGGTTTGCATATCAACCTGAATAATACTAATAATTTTTTAATATGTAAAATTTGTATGAAAATAATATATTTTAACTGTTTTTTATATTTAGTTGGTCAGTAAGAGCACAATAATTTTTTTAAGAAATCACAAAATGTTTGGTTGCTCTTCCAAGTCAGATATTTACATTCACTTAAGTCAAAGACATTTAAACTCAGTTGTCCACAATTCTTCACATTTATAAAGATTTCCTCGTCTTATATTAGCCAGGATCATTACTCTATTTTTAAAGTATATATTGTCAAATAGTAATGACTTACTTCATCTTTCATTTCTTTCATATACTAAAGTAATATATCAGTATATTTTCCCAAGTGATAACACTTGACTGAAAATCCATATTCCAAATGGAAAATGACCATATCCCTAAAGTTTTGGGAAAATGTCTTACAGATTCAAAGTACTGGAGTGGTTATCATAAAACCTGATCCCAATCCAACAGAAAATATGTGGGAAAACCTTAAAAAAGACTTGTGAAAGCAAGAAGACTTATAATCTTGACTCAGTTATAATGGTTCTGCCAAGAGGAATAGGCCAAAATTCCAGCAGATTATTGTGACAAGCTTGTAGCAAAAATACACAAAATATTTGACTCTATTTAAACAATTTAAAAGTGTAAAGTCAATGCTACCAAATACTAAATGTACATAAAATTCTGGTAACTGAGAATGCGATGAAAGTAATAAAACCTAAAATATAGCATATTCTCTGCTACTATTCTGAGACTTCATTTTCTTAAAACATGTAAATGTCCTGACTAAACACAAGAAAGATTTACTAGGATTAAATTGCTAGAAATTGTGAAAAACTGAGTTAAACTGAGTAAATGAGTTAACTGAGTAACTAAGGTAAATGAGTTCAAATGTATTTGGATAAAGTTAAACTATATATATATATATATATATATATATATATGTTAAGAAAAAAGAGAAACC